TTGATGAAGTTCTTTTTGCAGAAAATCGATTTTGTTCTTTTGAAAAATATCCCGTTGCCTCAATACTGAATTTTCCTTTTTCAGTTCGGAGATTCTCTTAAGAGTAGCCTTAAATTCAGAATATAATTCATCAATACAATTTGACACTTCAATCGAAATTTCAGAATACTTTACCTCGATTTCAACCATAGTATCAGAATCCGAGTCTGAGTTTGAGTTTGAGTCTGATTTGGCCATCAAACAGAAGTTTGAGACGTCTTCATCACTTTCTTCACATTCTGTATCACTCTAGGTTTCTGTTTTCAAAGCTTTCTTTGCCTTTTCATATTTGCTCTTCTTTTTCTTCAGGAGTGGACAGTTTTGGTTTGATGTGTCCACGCTTCTTGCAATGGAAGCATATTACTTCCTTTGATTTTTCTGTCTCATCAGGGATCTTCTTTTTCCCAAATGGCTTCTTGTTTTTGAAGTTTCTTCCTTTCTTTTTCATTATTCTGTACTTCTTTATGAAAAGAGCCAGTTCTTCATCATCAAGATCCTCTTCTTCTGAATTTGCATCATCAGAATCAATATTAGATTTTAAAACAATTAACTTATTACCTCTGGATTTATTCTCCTCATTTAGTTGTTCAGTTTCATATGACTGAAGAGTTCTAATTAGTTCATTCACTAATAAAGGCATGATCCTTTGAGTCTCTCGAAGTGAGGTTTTTATGTTGTCCCACTCCTTTGATAGTCCTCTTATAAGCTTGTTTACTTTCATTACATCTAAGACTGGTTATCCTTGATATGCAAGACCGTTTACTATATCAATAAATCTGTCATACATATCAGCAACTGATTCTCCTAACTTCATTCTGAATGATTCATATTGCTCAAGCAATAGGTTGATCTGGGTTTCCTTTGCTCGATATGTTCCTTAATATGTGGTGTAGAGGGTGTCCCAGATGTCCTTTGCCGATTCACAAGAAGTAATTTTCTTATATTAATAGGTGCTAAAGCACAATAAAAACAATAAATTGCTTTTGAATCTAAAGCTTCTCTTTTTGTCATCTCAGTTTGAGATAATGGAGGATCTGCTAGTTTGCTTTCATCTATCTTCTCTTTTGAGGCATATGCAGATGTAGAAGGTTTTGGATTGACTCCTCTGATGACAACATCCTACTACATGTGATCAATTCATTTAATGAAAGCCTTCATCTTATTTTTCCAGACGTTGTATACCTTGCCATCAAAATATTGTGGTCTGGAATTGCTTTGTCCTTCAATGAGACCTGGAGCACTCATGCTAGCCATAAAAATCGTTAGCTCAGAAGTAAAACACTTTAATAGACGAGCAACCTACTCTGATACTAATTGACGTAGCTAGTAGGGATCACCTAGAGGGGGTGAATAGGTGATTTTAGATGACTTTGATCAAATTTTATGACGGAAATAATTGATCACTAGTAAAGTTTGCATAATGTTTAGATTTTGAGCATTTTATATAGACAATGTGCTAGTGTGCAGGATAAACAATAGAATAAGAGTTTAGGGATAGAAAAATTGCACACAAGAAGTTATAGTAGTTCGTCTTAGATCAAGCCTACGTTTACTCTCATACGCTGATAGCCTACCGGCTGAATTTCACTATGTTATCAGAAACGATTACAAGTTCTAAGTGATATCACTTCGTGAATGATAAAACTTTCTATCTCACACAATCACTTTTACAAAATGTCCCTCAAGATCTCAGTGTTTGGCTCAGGACAAATAAGTAATAGAATCGGAATATGCTCAGACTTTGGACTTATTAATTCTTGATTTCATTCACTACCTTCTGCTCCTCGTTAATCTTCTTTTATACTCATCCACTTTCAAACTAGCCGTCGGACAATCTTCGGAAGATCATATTCCAATCTTCACCTTGGATAGATTTGTATAAAATTGATTGAGTATCTGTTGGTTGACAAAAATTGAATCCCGCTGAATCTGGTCACCCATACAACCAGAATCTTGGTTTCTATAAGTAAAGCTTTATCCGTTGTGAGATATACACACACACTTGCCTTAATGTTTGATTGTCAATCAATTATATCCGTTTAAGATTGAGTCAATTAAAACTTTTCTTATGTGAAATCCACACCAAATCACTAGCTATTTTGTTCGTTTTGAATAATTTATGGTTCTTACTTCCCATTCAGACCTTAAGTCAGTGTGGGTCTTTAATAAGATCAGAACCTTTCAGAAATAGAGTCTGAAATTCTTCATCTGCTTAATATAACGTTTAAGTGACTTTTTCAGTAAAGTCTGAACTTCTTATTCTTAAAGCTGTAAAGTCTGAAATTTTCTTTCTGGTCCTCGTAAAGTTTGAACATCCATAAAGTTTAGTTCTCTCGAAATAGCCATTTTCAGAATTTATCTACCTGGATCAAAATACTTCAGAGCACGTGTCAGACTTAATATGGATAGTTTTGTCAACTTCAAAATCTATTAAGAAGTTTCCTCAACAGTCTTGTCGGATGGTTCATGGTCCTTCGAACATAAAAAACCTTAAGATTGTGATATATATAAAGAGTGAGGTAATAATCACCAAGATTTGCGAAAAAGGATGGCCATCGTCATGTTCATTGACTTACCAAACCTAACAAATGTGATCTGATGTTTTCCAGCCTCTCAAGATCAACTTTCTCGTTCATCCTAGTCCAAAGAATCACTCCACTAGAGCCATTATCATATAAGAAGGCATGGGTTTGTGCATGTATTCCCTCAATTGGTGTAAGATCCATCTGATTTAAAAATGAATAGATCTTTTTTTTTGTCAAAAAAAATGAATAGATCTAAACACCACATCTTATAAGCGAATTTTTTTCCCCTTCTTTTCCATTTTGACCAACATTATTATTATTAAGAGACTTAGTTGAAAATTTAAAAAAAATTGAGGGACTCCCTTTGTTTTGGCTAGCTATCGAGGCACGCTCTCACTTAACTTACAAACTAGAGATAAATTCACTATAAATTCTAGGGATATGTTCGCTAGAAGTCATAAAACTTGTCACAAAAGTACAATTGAGTCATAAAACTTACAAAAAGTGTAATTGAGTCCTAAAATTTGTCAAATTTGTTCAATCAAATCCTAAAGTTAACACCGTCAATTTGTCTGATGGAAAATGCTGACGTGGCATTTTAAAATGAATTTCTCTCTCCTATGTGGCGTTTATTATTATTATTTTATTCAAATATTATATAAATTGAATTAAAAAACTAAAAAAAATCTAAAAATTACTTTAAAAAACAAAACTAAAAAAAAAAAACTAGGGCTAAGTTAGGAGTTGCAGCCGCCGCCCATCGCTAGAGGGGGGCCGGTGGAGGTCGCCGAAGGGGCCGGTTGAGGTTGCCGACCCCCGGCGAGGGTGGCCGGCCCTCGCTAACTCCAGGTGAGTCCTCTCCAACCCCAGGCAAGGGCGCCCAAATCTGGCCGACACCGGCCCTCACCCGGGCCAAGCGAGGGTTGCCGGCCCTCGCCCGGGGCTAGCAAGGCTCGCCGACCTCAGGCAAAGGCCAGGCGTCGCCCAGATCTAGGTGCCCTCAACCCAAATCTTGGCGGGCGATGGTCGCCGGCCCCAGGCAAGGGCCAACGTCACCCAGATCTGGGCGCCCTCACCCGGGGCTAGCGTGGGGCCGGCAAGGGCTGGCCACCCTCAACCAGGGCCGATGACCTTAGCCGGCCCCTCCGACGACCTCCACCAGCCCCCCTCCGTTGAATCTGCTTCTCTCTTCTTCTTTTTTCCAGTTTTGTTTTGTTTTTTTTTTTAAATTTAGCCTTTTAATTTAATTTATAAGATTTGAATAAAACATATATATATAAATGCCATGTAGGAGAGAGAAATTCATTTTAAAATGCCATGTCAGCATTTTTCGTTAGACAAATTAACGGTGTTAACTTTAAGACATGATTGAATCAATTTGACAAGTTTTAGGACTCGATTGCACTTTTTGTAAGTTTTAGGACTTCTAATGAAAATATCCCTAAATTCTAATAGTTATCGCAAAAGTACAATTGAATCCTTAAACTTTATAAAATTACAATCAAATCCTAAAACCCGTCAAATTGATACAATCGAATCCTTCCATTAATACCGATTCATTTAACTAAAAATACTGACGTGATATTTTTTTAAGGGAAAAAACCACCAAAAACCCCGAACTTTGTCATCTGTGACACATTTATCCCGAACTTTTTTTTGTGACACCAAAAATCCCGAACTTTGCTTTTTGTGACACATTTACCCCAATGTATCTAGTCCATGGGCATTTTCGTCTTTTTGCTTTTTCTTTTTTTTTTTTTTTTTTTTCCTTTCCGTGAGGGGGCCTCGCCGGATCCGGCGAGGGGGCCCTCGCCGGCGTCAGCGAGGCGGCCCTCGCCGGATCCGGCGAGGCGGCCTCGCCGGCGTCGGGCGAGGAACCTCGCTGAGTCGGGTGAGGTCGACCTCGCCGAGTCGGGCTAGGGCCGCCCTCGCTCGCCCAGCGAGGGCGACCCTCGCCGGCGTCGGGCGACCCTCGCCGGCGTCGGGCGACCCTCGCCCGGCGTCGGGCGAGGTCCGCCCTCTCTGGGCGAGCGAGGCGGCCTCGCCGATCTGGCGAGGTCGACCCTCGCCGCGTCGGCGCGGGTCGCCCTCGCTGAGCTCGGCGAGGGCCGCCCTCGCCCGAGCGAGGGCCGCCCTCGCTCGGCCGCGGCGGGCGCCCTCACCCGACGCCGGCAAGGCCCCCCTCGCCGGAAAGGAAAAAAAATGAAAAAGCAAAAAAGACGAAAATGCCCATGAACTAAATACATTGGGGTAAATGTGTCACAAAAAGCAAAGTTCGGGGTTTTTTGTCACAAAAAAAAGTTTGGGGTAAATGTGTCACAAATGGCAAAGTTTGGGATTTTTGGTGGTTTTTTCCCTTTTTTTTAATTAGAGGAGAAGGCTTACGGCGGATCCACACTCTCAAAGGCACGTGCGATGCCCGTGCAATGCCTCCTTTCTCTCCTCATTTCAGGGTTTAAGGGGAAAGAAAGAGCTCTCATGGCGTCGTTACTGCGGCCCGCCCTTAAACCCTAGTCGCAGTCGAAGCGATGGACAAGACCATCCTCGGAGAGCTGGATTCCCTCCCCGAAGAAGACAAGCTCCGGCTGAGCGCCTTCGTCGACCGTCTCCAAGCGCGCGACAGGTGAGCCCCTCGCGGGTCCCCGAGCTCTAGGGACCCGAATGTCGTCTCCGACTTTTGTTTTGCAGAAGACGCATTCGTGATGCGTGGGCGCGCGGTGATTTGAAATTGCTGCAACTGGGTTTTCGCGCTGCGTTGTTTTCGTTTGGTAGTTTTCTTTTTTTGATGATCTCTGATGTCTGATGTGGGTGGATTGATGATGGGTTTCTAGTCCGTTTTCGATGATGAGACAGACGTGTTGATCGGGTCGAAGAATTTCGGGTAAAGGAAGGCTGGCTGTAGATGTAACAAGTCTTGTTATGCCAGAGCCTTTGATTCTTCATTGCTAGAAATTTTTCCTCCTAAAGTTTCCATTTTCCAATTCGCTGTTTGTATTCCGCTGGAAAGTAATAGCGTCAGTCTTCAAATCGAATATGTGCATATGCAGTGATTGTTAATCCTGTTCCATTCTGATTTTTGCGTTTACATTTGTTTGCGTTAACATTGGATCAGTCTTCTTCTTCTTCTTCTTCTTCTTCTTCTTCTACATTTTCTTTTGGAAGGTTTCATGATCTATGATTCTGGTATGTGTCAATGGGTAAGTTTCTAGTCTGCTGCCGCCAATTTCAGGTAAAGGAACACTGGCTCAAAATGTAAATGTAACGAGTCTTGTTATGCAGAATATTTTCTTTGTTCGTGGCCACAAATTTTCTCCCAAACTTCCAATTTCTTATTATTTTTTCTGCCACAAGAAAGTTCACGCGATGCGTCTTCTTTCACTGGTCTTAAAATTAAGGAGGAGTGACTCTGGCCTTTTCCCGCTGGTTTGTCTGCATATGTTACTTCAAAAGATGTAACCCGAAACAAGAAATTTTCTAACCATTTTATCTGGGGAAGGGGCCTTCTCTTATTGTTGAGCAAAATCCGTGGAGTTGGTCATACCCAAACTGGAAATTCCTCTCCACTTCTCCTATTTTATGCCTTGTTCTATTCTTTTCTTGTTTGAGAGTGGCAATCTGAATTAGTCTGTTAAGTTTCTCTCTCTTGCCATGCATGCTGTCAGTTTGGAGTATAATACATGGTGTATGTGAGACCTCTTAACCGACTTTGTCCTTCACATGGCATTGGCATCTTCTGGCAACGTCTGATTAAACCATCACATTCCACCTATCTTATGTCTGGAGATGACTCACTGAGCATCAATTGCTTTGATGTCTAGTTTCGGTAAAAAGTTTGTGCATGGAGAGGCAAAATTCTTTTTGTTTTGTTAAGACTAAGAAGTTTATTCAGTAAAGAATAATTACAATCCTGTGTGGATAAAAGAAATAGTACAAATAAAAGAAATCAAGACTCAAACATATGTAGAGGTTTTTCTGTCTAAGACATAATGATGCAGCCTTCAACTGATCTCTTTATCATGCTTATCAGCATAGATGGTTCCGTGGGCCAGGTTGTTCTCCCTCGAATTTCTTTCGTGGCTTTCATCCAAATTTTCTGTGTAATGTTCGATTGTGTAGCTCATTATAAATTCCGGTCAAATCTGACCCTCTGTTTTCATTTCCAGTAAGAAGAAACATTTTGTGGCATTACCAGGAGCATTCCATCTTTCAATTAAAAAAAGTTCCGGATGTCATAGATAGAAAATGGATAATAATGTCATCCACAGATGGCTCTCTTCTTGCAAGGGAAGCATGGCTCGACATGGTAATATTACAAAGTTTAGTTTGAATTTTCCTAGAACTTGCTGTGCATTTGAGAGAACTGGCTTGATGGGGCTTTGACCTTCAAAATTCGCTGACATGAGAAACAATTAGGTTTATCTCCGCATGAATCATCATGAGAACTAAGAAGATTTCACACCAAACTCGTGTCCTGTTGATATTCCATCGTCGCCTTCGTTCAGTTTAACAATTAATTCACTGGTGATAACTTTTCTGAGAACAATACCCAACTCCCGGTCATTGAAGTCTCTTGTGAACTTGGCAACACCAGGACATTATCTTACTCTAATTGATCCCATAATGGTCCAAGGATTATCAATTTGATCTTTGACCTCTCTTTTCTGCGTCCAATTCTTTTTCTACTGAATAACGGAAGATGAGATTTTATCTTCTGATGGAACAGCCTGATTCTTTTGACCCTTTCTTTTTCTTTTTCTGCCCATCCTTATTTATCTTAATCTTCAGAAGTTAGCCTGTTCTTTCTCATCAATTATGACATCAATCTAACCAGTATTCATGTTTCACTTTCGCAGACCCCAGTAAACCTCCAGTCATCTCTTCACTCCACTGTGATTCTATGAATCTTACTAATTCATTCAAACTTAAATTGCATATGCACGCCTTGTTTATACTTTAATTTACGTGAGTGAGGGTTATGCCATATGTGAGAATCTGATTTCTTTCTCCTGCTTCGGATATCTTATTGCAGTCTAAGGTTGTATAATTCTTTGGTGGAGAGATGCTTTATCGATTGTATCGATTCTTTCTATCGCAAGTCTCTTGGCAAGCAAGAGGAGAGATGCGTGCTTCACTGTGCTGAAAAATTCCTGAAGGTATCAGCATATGTTGGAATTAGACTGGCGGAGCTCAACCAAGCAGAACAGCAATCAAATCCAAGATGACCCTCACTTGCTGATAGGAACAATGGTGTTGTCATTGGTTTTTTTTTTCCCCTCCTGAGAAGATCCCCAATGAATGAGATGGCAGTGTCGTGTTGGGAGTTTGATGTAGCGACAGATATTCTTGCATAAGAGTGTAAAAGAATCGAGGAACACAATAATCTTTACCATCCAATATCTTGCTCGTTACTTCAACCGAGTGTAGCCACTACCGTGATTTTAGATGGAAATTCTTACTGTAAAATGAGCGATAAGAGAGTAGCTTGAAAGGGTCATGTTTTCATGACCCGCCTTAACAGGTTGATCTTTTAAGCAATAGCATTCCTGCTATACTTCTTTCTGGACGCATTTTAGTGATGTTTCTGTTCGTTTCTTGAATACTTTGATGCTCGTATGCATAGGTGGTTGTTACTTTTGAGCATGAGCATCGAGTTCAGTGTTTTGCGAACATAAACAAAGGGACTGCATTTTTCGTTAGGAACTTCCATTTATTAAAATCCATCTACCAGAAACGTGAGATTCCAGGATTCACTTGTCATCTACACGACTCAGAATAAAACAATAGTCACGTATTAAATTATACAGAGTGAAGAAACAAATTGAGGATAAACAAAGAAGAGAGTCAAAATTGTTTTCATGATGCACCTCCAGCACTTTCCCACCTCTCTCTCGTCTACTAGTTAAAGATTCAATTGAACTCCACAAGATGCCAACCGATCTATGTTAGTATCTAATGTTTACTTGCCAGTGCAAAAGCACTTGATAAGAAGAAATTAGATTCTCCTGGAGTTCTTGTTTTTATGATACTATGGGGGCATAAATCAACCGTTCATTGCATATGAGAACCAAAATTTAATGAGATTTACGGCAAAGATAAATTTAGCTAAGCTTCCGCTATAGTCAACACGCCCCAAACGATGTGACAATAAAACTAAGCCCATTTATTGAAAAAGAAATTTGTTGGGAAAGTGACAGGTGATTCCTAAATTTTGACCCAATGTATCATTTAGTCCCTAAACTTTAGCTCAATATACAATGATATCCCCAAACTTTAGTTGTACAATGTAGTTCAAGAAATTTTGGTATATATTTAATTTAGTCCATAAGATTACATGAAAACTTCCAATGTAGTTCTTTCATTAATTAAAATTTAGAGACACATTGAACATTTTCATATAGTTTAAAAACTAATTATACATAAGCCAAAAGTTTAAGAATCACATTAAACAAATTAAAAGTTTAAAGATGACATTGCACATTGAAATAAAGCTCAAAGATCACATTGAACAAATTAAAAGTTTGAAAAGACATTACACATTGGACAAAAAAGTTCATTAACCATTTGTGTCATTGTCCCAATTTTGTTAGAAAAAGAGGGAGTCACGTCATTGCATCAAAAAGAAACTTTGATAGTTTCTTCTAAACAAAGCGTCGGCTTTGAAACAACCCCATAAGATGGTCGATTCAACTTTCAGAGTCATTTACCACTAAATTACTTTGCAAAGTTCACAGATCCAGTCGAATTAACTTGATGCTCCCTGTCATTGTTCACCGCAAGAAAAATGTCACCCATGTTTTGGAAACTAGAACCCCCATTGATCACCCTGCCTTGGCTTTTCATAATACAAACATCTCAACCAAAAGAATGGTGACAAATAATTTGCATCAAAAGGTCGATGCCTTCAGAAGCAACCAGGCGCCACCAAAGTCCTTCATAGGGAAGAGCTTACAGCAGAACCAATCAGCTTCATCAGCGGGGCAGCTCTCTAAAAGCTGTGGCTAGATTTTATATGCAGCCAGAGTGGTTACCACATATCATGACAATAACCTAATTGATTGCATACTATGTGATTGTCAGAAACACGAGCTGAACAATGAGACTTCTCCACAATTTCGGCGTGAAAGAGTGAATATAAGAATAAAAAGCACAAAAGCAATTGGCAAGAGAGATCAAGAGCCTAAATACTACTGCAAGAGCATGAGCCAGCAATCTTGTAGTCATGTCAAGATCATACAAATTAAGATCCTGGAGTTTACACCCTACTCAGAAGACTGATAAAAACGCATGTACAGAGGAGAGAGAATGTACAGTAGAAGTATGAGCCAGCGACACAAGATAAATTAGGTGCAAACAAACTCCAATGGATGGTGGAAGAGCAAAATTACCTGTCACAATAAGTTCAACAAGATGAGATAACGGTTATAAATAACAGCTATAAATAACAAAGTGAGCAAAAACAGTGTAACTAGATAGATCACTGCTTCATAAAAAGCCGCACTTCCCACCAATTTCATAAAATGGGCATTGATATTAATGGGATGTTCATTTCAACAAAGGATAGTAGAAAAGAAGAAACAAAGGAAGAGATCTGTCAGGATATTGCTTGATGAAGTAGTAGATGTAACGCTATAATTAATGACCAAACAATGAATACTGGAGATGAAAAAATAGCTAAGGGCGAATGACGCATGTTTGGGGAGGCCATGACTGTTGGCTTTGACTTTATACTCCTAGCTATCGTTTATTTAGTCAAATGAGAAAATTGGAACGATATAAAAGGACTTGAAATAAGCAATAATTAATTGAACGGTATATCATCCACTCACAGGCTGACGCCTTGGAATTGGAATGAGATGTTTTTCAGGTTAAAGTGCGGAAGAAATTGATAACAGCAAGCAAACTCATAAAAATTTACTCAAAAACTCTCCAAGAAATAGAAAATAAAAAGAGAGAGAGAGGCCATAATTTTAATTTAGTTGTTGTAACTCATAATTAATCGTGAATCTAAGCAATTATCATTTTTGTTTAAGTCGTGCCCACCTTTTCTCGTGAATTTCCGCCTCCCCTTTGTTGAAAAGCATAGTAACGGCCTCTTTCATTCCCAGTTTCTATTCACATTCCTTTCTTATTCCAAATCCCCAAAAACCATAAATAAAAGGGATGAAGAGCACATTCTCGTTGCCAACTTTCAACCTAAGCATAAAATACATATCCTAGCATATAAAATGATGTTTTGATAGTTCCACCAGCGCACGTAACTTGACAAATTCTCCTTGCATTCTTATAATTCCATCATTCCCAATTGTAAGCTCTTGTCTCCCATCCTATTACCAGAAGCCCCCTATGTTCTTGCTACTTGAACTAATTAAATTTTTTTTTAGATAATGCAAGTTGCAACTGAACAAGGATCTAACCTATGGTGCGTTTGTTCAAGGAAAATGAATGACTCGGAAAATATTTTTCTAAAAATAATTGCTTGTATCGCTCACAAAACTGAATATACGAGAAATATTTTCATCATTCACAAAAATATTTAGACAAATTGTTGCCGAAAATTTATACGAGAAATATTTTCATCATTCAGAAAAAATTTAGACAAATTATTGCCGAAAATTAAAAAAAAAATCATTGATTAATCATTCAAGCAATACAAACGATCATTTTTAGGAAAATATTTTTGAAATCATTTATTTTCCACGAACTAAACGGAGCGTAAGAGAAACAGGCACAACTTAACACAAGTCAATATGATTTATTGACACAATAAGCAAAAAGTAAAAATGGATATTCGAAAAGAGAAGCTAGCGCGAAAGGAAAACTGACTCAGTAAAATAAAAAAATGATAAACAGTGGTGGATAATAAAATATTAAAAGAGCAACAGCACAAATGCAAAGAACCGAAGGAAATCAAAGAAGAGAACCACTTCCACCGGTCTTACAAAGCAGCTAGAAGTTCGCCACATTCATGAGTCACAAAAGAACGAGAAACAAGTTATTCTTAACAACAGACGAGGAAAGATGAAGTTGATTGGAGGTAAAGATAAACAAGACGTTCAACTTCAGATATTGTTGTTTAGAAGACAGAAGATGGAGTTCGACTCCCCATGAGCACCGTCTCTCCTATGGATCTTTTGAAGATGAAGTTCACAAGCAATATTCTTTCCAAATCTGATGCCATAATATTGGATCTCGGCCTAAAATATGATGAGGCATGAAAGTGGATTTGGGGTGAGCTAAAATTAGCCCCAATTTCTTGAGAAAACTAGGATCATATTCATGGGTGGATTGCTATCCTGTCCAATAACATTGATCCTTAGAATCTGCTATTTTCAATTTAATCTGGATCATAGAACAATACCAGATCATAGAATAGTACAAACATAATATGGTATTTGATTTGCTTTTTCTGGGGAAAGCCAAAAGTTTTGTTTAGAGGGATGAGAGAGAACAAGCAATCAAATGGAATGATCAGGAAGAAGAGATGGATGTTGACCAAAGTGGTATATTCATCATGCATGATCATGAATGCCTTAAAATTACAATAGATGAGGAGGAGAATCATAAAAACGATCACTCAAGCAAGTAAGAATCAAGATTAGTGTGTGTTAAGTAAGAATCAAGATTAGTGTGTGTTTTTGCAAAAAAAATGGAGTCATGTAGCTTATCAATGTCCAACTAAGATATTTGATAAAGACACTGAAACAAACATAGCGAAGATAATGGAACATGGGCAAAATGGAACCTAAGAACCTTTGAACTAGCTGCTGGAACTTCAACAGTCTTCTCTTTGTTCCTCTGAACCAAATTGTTCCATTTTTACTAATTTTTACTAAAAAAATAATGGAACGTGTATTACTCCGAGATAATCCCCTGAAAAGGGGAGGTCCACGGCATATTTTTTTTCCAATAAGAGTGCTATGATGATAAAACTCATAAACGGTAAGTAGGATAATAAAATTAAAACACCTGAATTTCTAAGACAAGACATGATATATTCATTTACCTTAATGGCATTTCCCAGCCTCACAATCCGTATTAAACAAAGAAATAGAAGCCAGCCTATTACAAGTTTGGTATGCCTGCCAAGCCTTTTTTTGTTTCCAGTTGTCTGTTCATAAGAAATTGAACTACATAATATGCTCCCTAACTAGATCACATACGAAAGGCAAAAGAGGGATTCAACTAGAAATACATGAATAAGGGCTTGTTTGGTAAAACCAGACAATAAATGCTGAAAATGTAAATTCTGAATTTTAAGTGTGAATAACCTTAAGTACTGAAAACAAGAACAGAAATTGTTTGATCATAACTGGGAATGGATTACTAAATGATATTAATTACTTTCTAAGTATGGAATTGCAATTATCATTGGTAAGTTTAAAATATAATTGGCATGATTCTAATTAATCAATTAATTTTCCATTAAACGTATTAGGTGACCCTTCTTTACTTACTGGATTAAGTGAATTTTTTACTTAACTAAATCTTTTAAGTTGAAATTAATTATGGTTAACAAACCAACTTAATTTCATTAACAGCTGAATTTTTTAATTTCAAACACTTAATTAAGATTATCAACCAGGCCCTAACAGTAGCC